ATGCAGGGCCCACAGAAAAGTGACTGCTGATTCATGATGGACATTGCTACAGAGTTCCTGCTTCATGGAAGTGTCTGCGAGACAGTATGCAGGACACAGAGAAAAGTGACTGATAAACTGCCAATACAAGAAGACAGTTTAAAGTTTCCTGCATTGCTGAAGAGTCTGCCAGACACACTATGGCCTATGGGCTGAAGATGGAAGATTACAAAAGAACTTTGGGTGACTAGGCAGTGAGTTGTCTCTGTCATTTCTAGAGTTTATACTATCCTTCTGTGGTCTTTGAGGGACTTGAAGACAGAGAGTTATGGTTACAGTTTTCCTTAGTATTAAAGATAAGTTACTTAGACTTTAGACACACAAAGATATGATAGATGATGGAATATTTTCTTCAAATCTTGCTAAATGTTAATGGACTAAATAGTGTTAACTGTGATTCTTATTTGATAACTGTTATGCGATATATTTTGCTATGTTAAGGTTAAAACCCTTCTTTTTATTTAGACAGAAAAGAGGAGATGATGGGAGATGTCATTCTGTATATGTTTCTCATACTGGTTAATAAATAAAGCACTGTTGGCCAATAGGAAAGGAAGATAGGAGGGACTAGGAGACAAGGAGGAAAGAGGAAGTAGGAAGGAGGAGTCAAGATGGAGAGTCAGGAGAGAGGTGGACGCCAGCCGCCTCCCCGGTAAGAGAAGGCCATGTGAAAATACATAGATCAGCAGAAATGGGTTAATAATTAAGGCAGAGCTAGCCGATAAGAAACAAGTAACCGGGCCAACAGCATTGTATCAAATACAGAGTCTCTGTGTGTTAATTGGGGCTGGCGCGACGGCAGGACAAGACCAGGAGGCGGCAGGCGGAAAAACCTTACTCGTTACAAGTTCTAGTTTGTTTTAGCAATTACTGAGTTAAGTTAATCATGTATCAATGATATAAAATTCAAATTTGCTAAAGTTTTACTTTTTGTTTCTCTAAGAAACAATAGTTGGTACTAATAGGCACATCAGCACCTACTTGCCTTCAAGCTATAAGATAAATAAATATATGTATTTACCATTAAATAAAATCATTTTATGTTTACAGATATCATGTAAATTCTTTTTGCAGAAGAAAAATCATCAAATTAAATATAGTAATACTTATACTACTAAGGCTTCCTCACATAGTAAATCAACTTTTTGTTATTTTTTAGTGGTATAAATTAAATCTTTATAGAAAATATGATTTTCAATTTATATTACATTATGGAAAAAATAATTTGATAATAACAAAAATAAAATAAGAATTTTCTTAAAATATAGTTTCAGTTCATAATTAAAAATGAAACACATTTATGAGTCATATGAGAAATAGCATGCCACCATCTGTGAGAAAAACAAAAGAGGATGATTAGCATGTATTATTTACTTGTTTGAGGATTGAATTTCTTTGTGTGGTGTGATATATTGAGTACAGCAAATGTTTAAAATATATTTTATAAATATTTAAACCTTAAATCCACTGAATCAAAATTTTCTACATTAGATGTCATTACTTTTACAAGGTAAAATTAAGAAATAACTTATAAACATATACACACCCACACATATACACCTTTAATATATCATATTTATACATATATTTGTATCATGTATACATATATGTATAACTATATACATGTTATTATTTCCAATATTTATGATACATTTCCAAAAGGCACAAAGGCCTGTTTTGCCTGTGTGTCAATGATATAGAGTAAAGTTGTAAGATATTGTGTTAATTGAAACAGATTTTGATGTCAGTGACATGAGATCTCAAAATCAAGACTCTAGGCCACAAATGATTGATTTGTAGAAAAAAAAAAAACCTGTCTTTCTTTCTTTACATTTATTTTTGCTGTCTTTTGCCTAGGGTCTTTGAAACACACACACACACACATATGCATATATATAGTTACATCATATATGTGTGATATATATCCATGTATATGTCATTTATAACAATACACAGAAAACCTCAAGTTTTTAAAATGTAGCTTGATATATTTTTCTTAATTAGACCACAAGTTTTCATCAATAATTAGGTAGTTTTTTCATATTAGGTGATAAAATAAGATCAATTTATTGATCAAATTGTGAAAATTTGTTCCTTTTATAGTAAGTCCTATAAAATAAACTGGAAGTTACCAACTTCCATTGTTCCAATGATAGAGTCAGTTGTGTACATTACAACTGGCTTTTTCCTTTTCAGACTTCCTTACTTCAGTTTTTTATCAAGTTAACTACAGATAATTTGTGAACTATTGAAACAAATTCATTCTTTTTATGAAGTATTAGAAAAAATAAATCCTTATTTGAGATCTTTATGTAATACCACCTCTGGTGGTGTTACTAGATGCTTAGGCTTCCTTGCTGATTTCAGTAATAATGAGTTTGCAAGTAAATGAAAATTTGCTTCCAATCAGTTTTTAAAGGTTCAACTTGCATTGTGTGTGTGTTTGTGTTTTATACAATTTTTGCTGTTTTTTCTTAATAGTATAAGTTAAAAAATCTTCAGAATATGTAGGCTAATTAATTTATTCAAGCCACAAAATCGAACATTAATATAAAGGAAAGAAAAATAAACTTTAGTCACATAAATAATGGCACAGGCTAGGTTAGGAACAAGACACTCTTATTTGTGAACAACAGTCATGTCCATTATCAAACAAGATTTATTTTGTAAATTAAAACCAGATACTATACTGAGAATCAATAGTTGTATAAAAAGGTTGTTTATCTCAGGATTATGACAGTGGTGTTAAAATAAGTTAGTATGACTTTAATAATGAGCCTCAAATTAATATGCATAACAATGCTTCCTCAAGGTACCCTAGTCATTTTATTTTGTCTGAGCTGCAAGAGAATTAAATATAATGCATACTATGATATAGTAATGATGATTTATAACTAATTACCTTTCTATAGTATAACAGAAGGCATTTCACTATATAGAACTACATGAAGTTTGAAGAATATTCTATACAACATTTATAAGGACTTCAGTGCTCTTGAAAGTCCTTCCTTTCTTTTTGTTTCATGACTTATATAAATGCATATACATTCTACAATGTTTATTAAATTCCTAATATAATCTTGCTATTTTGCTACAATTTCATATATAGTATGGACAAAGCCACTATTTGAACTTATTACTCAAAAAATTTCACAAATGAAATAATTTCATTTAGTTAGATGAGATTTTTCAAAGATATGAAGCAAAATTTAGATTTAATACAATAGTGTAGAGACTTAAAGAGTAGTGAAAGGCACCTTCTATGCAGAACAAACAGCAAATTAACAAATTGACTAAGAAATGAGGAAATCAGTCCCATTCACAATATCTACAATTGATAAACAAATAAATAAACAGGCAAGAAAACAAACAAATACTGGATAAACCAAGAGTGTACAGAAAAATTTAAATGCCACAATTAAACAAGTGATGTTTTAGGTAACAGGACAGTTACTGTACATAATCACAGCATTAACCTAAAGAAAAACTATGACAAGTTGAATCAGTAAATCAAAAGTATACAGTAATTTAAACAACTCTTTCCAAACTACAAGTATAGTTGTCCCTTTTCCAAAGGGCAAAGAATATCCATGAAATATATATTGATAATATTATACCAAATGATGGGACATTAAATATTTTCTGTAAAATACTTGAAAAGTGAAAAATTTTTTCTCAAAATTTCGACTTTGACATTATAATGGAATTACTAGCCCAAACAACAAATGAAAGTAAAATATGAAAGTATATTAAAAACAAAAAGTAAATGAAACTTGCATTTGCTTTCAACTCACATGATTGTGTCTCAAGAAATAAAACAAACTTCACCTTGAACAAGAAAGTTATATCAAGGAAGAACTTAGGTATATCTATCGCAAACTATACTCAGGTTATAAATAAGAATAACTACAAAACACAGATAAAATAAATTGAAGATGAACCTGAGTATAAAAAGACAAACAATAGGCAACATCAAATTGGAGGAGGAAAACTACATATCTGTGCTAATGGACTTCAAAACTTAATAGAAAGCTCCAACAAACAAACAAGTTAGAAAACATTCTTTGTCAAATTAGAGCAAAACATGAAAGGAACAGAACATAAACTGAATATAGGACACACAAAATCACTCACATATATGTTGTATACCTTGGTGTTCTCGTAACAGTAGGAGTGGGGGTGCCTCTGACTTTTGCCTGGTCTTTAGACCCTTTTTCTCCTACAGGGTTGCCTCATCCAACCTCTATATGGGGGTTTATGCCTAGTCTTATTTCTAGTTGTTATGCCATACTCAGTTGATGCCCCTGAGTGGCCTGTTGTTTTCTAAAGTAAAACAGACAAGAAGTTGATCTGTGGTAGAGGAGGAGGGGGTGTAAATAGGAGTGGGAGGAGGAAAAACTGTGATTGGGATATTAAGGAAGAGAGAGGAATAATAAAGAAATAAATGAAAATATCACCCACACTTGCAAAAACTATTCTTAAATATTTGAAAATGGGGAATACTAACTACTGGACCAGTATAGGGTGTTCATCAAGAGGTGCTTCAATGATAAAACTTTACAAACCAAGAAATTAATTTAGAAGTTGGCCAAACATATTATGATGAAAATTAATTCAAGATGAATAAACTCTAAATTTAATACAATAAGCATTCAATATTGAAGTTTTAGAGTAGCTTTTCACATCATTCCAAAAATATAATCCAAAAAGATTAAAGGGATGCAAAGAAAAATGAAGAGACTGCACACTTAAAGTCCCAGGAATCCTTTCCCTCAGAAGTAAATCCTGTGTTGTCTCCTAAACCAAGTAAGGGAGACATTTGCCCCTCCAAGTACCCAAAGTGCTCTAAGTCAATATCACAGTAACATTTCTATATATGTCTAAACAATTCTATTAAGGATATCAAAGATAGGCCCGCCGCACGCCCCTCCGTGGCTGCGGGGCCACACTCTCTGGTTCGCGCCCGGTAGGGGACCCTGTCCCCACACTATTCACTGCCCTGTCCTCTCCCACCCTTCTAAAATGTCTAATAGACTCCAGAGCGCCTTTCTGGAAACCTCAGAGGAAAATTCAGGCTCGCATTGACCCAGTGTGAGATGGCACCGATGTTAAAAAAAAAAAAAAATACTGAAGAAAGAAATAACAAGAAATATTCTCAAGGAAGTAATACTAAGACTGATGCTGAATTTAAAAAGCTATTTGGTCTCACTAAAGAATTGAGAGTGTGTCTTACTCGGATCCCTGACTGTCTGGGCTCTATAAAAGGTTGTGATTCCTTTAGCAGTTTAATGAAGAGTAATAGTTCTTACAAAGATGCAGAGTTTGTGGTGAAGGAAGAAGAAACAAAACAGAGTTTTTCTAAGAAAAGAAAAGCAAAATCCATTAAGAAGATGGATTACACAAAAAGGAGAAAAATTAAGAAAGCTAGTAACACAGTCATGAATGGAACTGATGCTTCCAGTTCCCAACTTCTTAGTATTTTACCAACATCAGATAATCCGCAACACAACATTGTCGCAAGCCATAGCACAACCAGGGAAGACAAGAGAACTGAGGTAGAAAACTGCTCCCATGAGAAGCAAGACAAAAGCATATTAAGTTCAAGTGCATCTTTTGGACAAAGTAATTGTTTCAGTAAAAGCTATATGGAAGATATTTTTCTATTGCCACCACCAGAATTAGAAGAAACCATCAGAGATGAAAAAAATAAGAAGACTTAAGCAGATTGTAAGAGAGAAAGAAGCAGCTCTTGAAGAAATGCGTAAGAAGATGCACCAAAAACAATAAAATGTCTAGGATTTAATGACTTGTACTACTACAGTAGTTCCCTCTTACCTTCTGGGGATACTGTTAAGACCTCTCCCTCCCCCTCCCCCTCCCCCACCCCCACTCCCCAATGGATGCCCAAACTGGAGATGATACCAAATTCTGTATACAACCGCTATAAAATCTTGATCTTTATTCTGATAACATCTACTTTAGATAATAACAAGCAAGTAATTAGGATATGCAATGTGGATACACTTAATGAAGAGGATAATTGATGTCCTGAACAGGACACTGAAATTTTTTGTAATGTTACTCTGAATGGTATATAATTTAAAAGTATAAATTCCTCCTTTCTGGAGTTTCTCATCGATATTTTGGACAGCAGGTTATCATGGGCATCAGAAAACAGAAGAGCCAACTGTAGATTACAAGGGATTACTATTATTTATAAAGGCACTCTGAAAGCATTTTTTGTATATAAAATGTAAGGAGTACAGAAAAGGCTGAGTCATATGACTCATCAATATTATACATGTCATATTTTGACTTACTTGTTTTGGAAGAAAGTTTTTGGTATTTTTCTGTGAAATGAAATTCCCCAAATTTGAATATTTTGTACAAAGTTTCTGTTAATGTTATATCTTCAACTAAATTTCTCAGGTCTTACACTAACAATAAATATTGTGTACTAAAAGTCTACAATCCAAGATAGACAGCTGTAAACTTAACTTTACCATTGAGTTTCTATGTGTACTGTCTTGATCTTCTTACCTATAAAAAATGATACAACCTAAAAAAAAAAAAAAAAAAGAATATCAAAGATATAGACTCAACCTGAACTTATAATTGAAATACATTATGTGTGAAAGGAAATCTATCTTCAATAAAATAAAAAATTATATAAGATAATTTTTTTCAACCCAGCCTCCATTATTATGCACATCTGTGATGTTTCATCCATTAACTGCCATATTTATCCTAAGAAGCAAGAGAAAGAAAAGGAACAATGATGGGAGATGTCATTCTGTAAATATTTTTCTCTTACTGGTTAATGAACAAAACAATGTTGGCTGATAGGAAAGCAAGATAAACGGGACTAGGAGATAAGGAGGACTCAAGGAAGTACTAGGAAGGAGTCAGCATGTAGAGCCTGGAGTGAACAGAGGTCCAGGTCCACTCTCTGGTAATATGAAACCATGAGAAAATACTTAGATTAATAGAAATGGTTTAATATTTAAAGATAGAGTTAGCCGATAAGAAACTAGTAACTGGCCAACAGCATTATATCTGAGTCTCTGTGTGTTAATTGGAGGCAAGCATGGTGTTGGGACCGGCAGAGGGGAAAACTACTCATAATAGAACAATACTCTCCATTTTTAAATTTTCTTTGCCTTCCATGGAAGAGTGTTCCCTACACCATCACTTTCCATGCTATTCTGAAACCATTTTAAGGCATGTGTTGTCATGGAGACTAGTATGCCACTTGAAAGGAAACACTTTCTGTAGTTTCCATCTTTATTCAATGAGGTTGCCAAATTCAATGTGGTGGAAATGATTAGAAATATCCAGTTTTAACCTCATATTTTATAAAGAAGCATGGCCCAGAAAGAATACTTAAGAATAGAAAACTGGGAGAAAGTTGGGTACATGGAAGTGACTAATAAAAGTGCCTCAAAGAATTATAATTATAAATATCAAAGATCAATGAGAGATGATTGTGTTGTTATATTATTTATGATCTAATAAAGTCACTGAATATCAGAATTCAAAGCTAGCCCTGGGTTTAGAATCTGGGCAGTGGTGGCACATGCCTTTATCCCCAGAAAACGGGAAACAGGCAGATCAATCTCTGTTGAGTTCAAGGCCACCCAGACCTACATGAGAGATGAGAGATAAGCAGTCTTATAGAGAAACAGTTTTTATGCCTTTAATCCCAGCACTAAAGAGAAATATAATATAGGAACAGGAGAGTCACTACGCAGGCTTCTAGCAAGTATTCTCCAGCGACATTAGGATACAATCCCACTTGCAGCCCAGGTGAAGGTAAGAATTCTCAGGTAGCATGGCTGCTTTGCTTCTCTGATCTTCAGTTTGAATCCCAATATCTATCTCTGGGTTTTTATAGGTAAACTGTGGTGATATATTATTTATGATCTAATAAATATTTCTTGCATGTTCAGAACGCAAAGCTAGCCAAAGCCACAGAGTCAGGCAGTGGTGAGACATAGCTTAATCCCAGCAGCCATAACACCTAGCCATAGAACTAGGCAATGGGTGGCACACATCTTTAATCTCAGTACTCAGAAGACAGGCATATGGAACTACGTTATTTCAAAGCCAAAATGAACTATGCAGAATTGATCCAGTCCTCAAGAAAAACAGCTCACACAAAAGTGATCTTACCACTTGGGATCACATGCCTTTAATTCCAATACCAGGAAGATATAAAAGGAAGAAGCGAACGGTCTCACATGAAGATTACATCTCCAGACAGGGAGAGCTATTGTCTTTGGGAATTAATGGACAGATTAATGCACTCTGAGGATTTGTGGAACAAGGACTACCAAAGCAGTCTGAAGTAGAGGTGGCTGGTGGCTTTCCTTATATGACCTTCAGCTTGAACCCCAATGTCTATCTCTGGGTTTTTATGTTTCATGGTACAGAGGTCTGAAAATATCATGAAGCAGGGCAATGGAGACAATTGAGAAAATCAACCTTAAGAGGTCATAAAAACTAATAATTTTTAAATACCACCAACTACTATATGGAAGAAAAAAGTCACAAAAAGTCACTCACCTACCCATGATTTTTCATATGGAGTAGCTCAAGCAAGATCAGCTTCACCTCACCAATCATAGGCAGCAGTGTCCTGAAATACTAACTTTTCTTCCACTTAGATGGAGCTCAGAAATCAGTATGACATCTCCATTAGGGACTATACTCACCATCTTCAATTTGCCTTCCATGACTTGGGGAAGCTACAAGCTTTTGCAAAGTTTGTGCTTGTTAGGTGGTGTGACCACATTGCTCTAAAAAGGAGCAAAACCTATGGAATAACAAATGGATACTTTACTAGAGTTACAAAGAATGACATTGTTGAATGTACTTGTTCAACTCCATGCTCTAAGGTGACTTTACAAGAAGCCTCTGCAGGTACCTCATTCTCAACTCATTTATTTTTCCCTCCCACAAAAAAAAAAAAAAATATATATATATATATATATATATATATGCATATATATATATATATATATATACAACCTCAAATTTTTTTTAGTCTACCACAGGACCAAGCAATCCCACTCTTCAGCATATACACAAATGATCCACATCCATGCAAAAACGATATCTGATCAACGATGTTCATAGCTGCATTATTTTTTTTAATAGCAAGAACCTGGAACCAACCTAAATGCTCCTCAACTGAAGAATGGATAAAGAAGGTGTGTATTACACAATGTAATACTACTCAGCAAAAAAAAAAAAAAATGAATCCTGAAATTCACAGGCAAATGGATGGAACTTGAAGAAACCATCTTGAATGAGGTAAACCAGTCGCAAAAAGAACATAGTGTGTACTCATGCATATATTGATTTTATTGATTTTAGACGTAGAGCAAAGAATCACCAGCCTTTAATTCACACTTCCAGAGAAACTAGGATAAAAGGAGGAACCTAAGAGATTCTCAAAAGGTTCCTCACAGAAAGGGAAAGGAACTTGGGGGGGGTGAGTGGAGAGGGAGTTAGGAGCAAGAGGAGGAGAGGAAAGCAAGTGGAAATAGGAAAAAGAGAGAGAGAGAAAGAAAGAGAGAGAGAGAGAGAGAGAGAGAGAGAGATACCATAAAAGAAGAAGCCATTACATTATAGGTTTGAAGAGAAAGCTGACTCTAGAGAAATGTCCAGATACCTACAAGGATAACCCCAGCAAACAATATGAGCAACAACAGTGGAAAGGCTACCTTAAATTCCCTTCTCTGATAATGAGATTGATGACTAACTTATCTATCATTATATAGCCTGCATCTAATAACTGATGGAAACAGAAGCAGACAACCACAGCTAAACACTGAGCCTAACTGGAATCCAGAGGCAGAGAGTGAGGAGTGATAAGAAAATAGGGACAAAACCAGGCTACAGAAACTCACAGAGACAGCTGACCTGAACAAGGAGGAGCTCGTGAACCCTCAGACTGATTTCTGGGAAATCAGCATTGGACTGACTCAGACCCCCTGAACAGGGGTTTCAGTTAGAAAGCATGGGCAGTCTAAGGGACCTCTGACAGTGAAACGAGGATATATCCCTGTTGTACAAAAGGACTTTGGGAGCACATTCCCCATGGAGGGATATTCCCTTAACCTAGAGGCAGGAGAGAGGGCCTAGCCTCTACTCCAAATGACTTGACAGATTTTGTTGATCCCTCCTAGAAGGCTACACTTTCCCTTTGGAGTATATGTGGGGGGAGGCATGGGATGGATGGAGAGACAGAGTGAGGGAGAGTGAACTGGGATCAATATGTAAAATAAGAAAAATTGCAAGAAAAAGAAAAAATGCTTTGCAGATATTATGACATTTTGTTAATAAAAATAATTGGTACTGCTATGAATTGTAATGTTTATATATCTGATATATAGGATATTTCCTATGAGACCCCTGTGAAAGCATTGCTTGACCCCCATTCCCCACAAAGCTTCCTTACTCACTGGTTGAGAACCACTGGTCTGGCTGGTGAGATAACTCTGTAGGGAAATGTTCCTTCTGTAAGGCCTGATGACCTGAGTCCAAATAAGTGTTTGTAGTTGCAAGGCTAGAAACCAATGTGTCAAAGTAGTGCTAATCAGCATGAGCCACACCCTTAGACTTGACCGTTGAACAATCTTGATGAGTATTAGGGGATATCATCTATCTTTGTTTTTCCTAAGAAGGAGTTGATTCTTACAAAATAAATTGACTTCTATGTGAGAAAAAAATACAAACAATTGTTCTTTTCTTTCCATCATGTCTTGTTTTTCTTTTGCTTCTAGCTGGGCCTTAACACTTGAGTGGGTCCTTCTTCCCTTCCAACTAGGGAAAAGAGCATGAGCTAAGTCACTGTCACATAGA